GCTGTTCTTGAAACCTAAAACAAGAAAAACACAACTGTTACTTATTATCACACCATGAATATCATGATCACAGACACAACAGACCACACTTTATTTGGTTAATCAGTAACCCACACCCTCAAGTCATGTTCCTTAATACTCGTGTTGTGATACGGTGGTGAGACCAACCACTCTCTTATCACATTTTAAAAGTTAGCCAACCACTCAGCTATCCCTACCGTGGACAGTGGCTGACCCACAAAAAGCCTTCTTCCACCCTGGAGGCGGGTCACCTTGATTACGACACTGGTTATTTTTACAAAAACAACGTGAAGCTTCGACGGCTTACTGAAAGCCGAATTAATCGTTAGCATGTTTAACATTAGCAGCATGTATGTGTTGTTGCTTTACAGTTACTCGGGCGTGTGGTGAGTACGCAAACTTTAAATCTGCGTGTTTTGATATCAAGGCTGGCGCCGTAAGCCTCAACATGACAGCCTTTCACGACTGTTCAGCTGAGCGAGAGCTACAGACAATAGGACAGTTGCGTACCGTGAGCCCCGTAAGCCCCAGCTCCCACTGCCGAGGCTCCTGACAGAGCTGCTAACCTCCGAACCACAGCAGAAGCGCTCATGTTTGGACTGTAACTGCAGGTGTCACGCGGGCGGAAGAAGTGACGGCGGTGCTGCGTTCACTGTCATTATGTACGTTCAGCCTTCTCAACTACGTGATTGCGGACATACGTAGTTAAATAACGGACTGTGGGTTTCCCGCTCATGGGGCAAACAACAAACGATCAGACATTAAGAGAGGAAATGTTTTTTAATTGCATTATGATGTAGTGTAACCACAGTGTTGCAGCTACATGTAAACGGAAAAGTGTGTTGAAACAGATTTGTGTTCTAAAATAACTATAACATACATGCAAGATAAGTAGTCTAAAACGGAAAATATATTGTGCGAACCTGCAGTTATTCCAACTAATATGACACGTGACTTCGGAGTTAAGTCTCTGATATGCTGATGTGTGTTT